TAAAGCAAGCATTCAGAGGAGTTGGTGTTTTTGTTTTCATCCATAACTGGATCAAAAAATAAAAGAAAACCATCAAAGATGCGTGTTTGAACGTAGACCATTCGTCGACTAAATTAGCTTTGACGGATTCCATCTTCACAATTCAAAGAGTTGATGGAGTCGAAGAGATCTTGAACAAAAACCCTTATCTTCCGCATGGTCAGTGCTTAAGCTCGAGATCCACAGCTTTATTCATGTAGGCCTTCTCACCTTTCAAAAACCTGAGAACACCACAAAGCTTGGGAAAGGATTCCCCAAAAGCATTTTTTTTCCAAATTCTGACTTTTGTTCCTGTTCATTTTTCATCGGATGTAGTCATCAACAATATGAAATGCAACCAAATTATTCCACACACTTAGAACCTGCGTAAACATCTGTTCCCCCTGAAAAATTTAAGATCCTAATTCCGTGATAGAGACCTTCACTTGAAATTTGCCTACTTTTGTTTGAAAAAAAAACCTTTGAAGAATCTTCTTAAAGAAAAGTGAACACAGAACAACTCGCAAGGATATGCTGTAACCTAGCTGTGTTGGCAAGTGCATTCAAAACAATCCCTGAGGGGAATCCACTGTACTTGGAACGGCACTGAATAATGTATCAGCGACTTCCACTTTGACATTTCCCTTATCCATAACCATCTACTTCATAGTTGTATTGTATTCTCGTGTAGTAAATGTAGCTAGAAATTCAGCGTAGATGGTGTAGGTCTACTGATTCCGTGTGTCTAAGCACAAAAGAAGGAGCTACACAGAACTCGCACCCATCAATTTGTCTATTATCCGTCTACATTATTGCCTCCGCTGAGAGTAGGAGAAGCAGGACAACGAGAACCAACTAAACCCAATTCTTAAATGTTTTTATATCTTTGATATCGTGGCTAATAGCGACACCGCTCCAATTAAGGCAAAAATATTACAAAGAAGCCTTGGAAAATCAGTGCTGTCCACTCAGTTTCCTGAGATCCTTCATAGATTACATACCACGAGACAATCAAAACCTTTGCAACCCCGTCAGCATCGATATTAGTTCCATGTACTACCACACAACTAAGCCATTCTCTCAAGATTACTAAGTGCAATTTGTGAGGCAGAAGGCCTTTATGACCTTATCAAATTATTTTACAATGCCTAAACACAAGCACCAACATCAATGACGCGTACAGATAACCAATATTCATTTATGTGTAAATAAAAGCTTCAACCTCACTATATCAAATTCTATACAAAGGTTAATTTTAAAGGAACAAACAGCTCGGATACTAAAACTCTACCCGTGTGTGACGTAGTCGATATAACAATCGGCTAAAATTGTGAACGATAAGAGACTGGTCTACGAATCCAGAAAGCCTGTGAAAAACATGTTGTAAAAGATATGAGGAAACACACTCGATTTTAACTTTTACTTGTCGATTACGCTATCCACTGCAGCTATTACCTCGTATTTCGTCGAACAAACTTACGAGACCCTTATTTCTTTTACTTCTTGGCTTCAAAGTAAGCGAGCTGAGCAGCATTAGATGCAAACACTGCCCTCCACTGATTTATTTTTTCACTTGTTTCAGTGATAGGAGCGATTTCACGATTAAAAAAAGCGACAGACCATCAAATCAAACAAATTTATTATATAACAATAACATTAGAAGAAGAAACCAAGTATCTTCCCTCCAAGGTGTCTTTTTCTAGCTTCCTCATGATCCATGATACCAGCGGAAGTGGTAAGAATCAAAAAGCCAAACTGACGCGACGGGAGAAGATTAGTAGTGTATTGTTCGATATCCTAAGTACAGTAGTGGTTGATAAGGTTGTTAGCAGATCAATATCTTTACAGTGCACAAACAACAGACCTTGAGCTTGATATCGAAACGAGGGGAAATCACAGAGCATTTATTGAGTCTGCCATTTAAGTTCACTACAATTTTTCCAGCACGGTGGTCATCAACAATTTCAAACTCTCCAATATAACCGTGTTTCATCATCACCGTTAAAAATCTGACTATAACCTGCAAATTAGATTAACAGTATGAGAGCATTATAAACCAATAAACTACTTTGCACAAAAATGAAAAAATTGAGTTGCACTAAGCTGTGGCATAAACGATGAAACTTATTCCATCATTTGCCCTTTTTATACATAGCATGCCCGAGGTTGGTATCTTATTCTTCAAAACGATGAATGACGTTTCGACAATTTCATCTTCCTCATAGTTGCTAAGTCACTTTTGCATGAGATAGGTATCAGTGGTTATCATACATTTCAAAAAAAAATCTGATAATTACTTCTGAGACAACCTGTCATGTAGTCTTCTAGGGCAAACTTATAGAGCCCAATGTGTTTTGGGCCTTGACAGCCTCGTCAGTTGGGCAGTACCCTTCGTCTTAGCCAATCCTCTTGGGGTTCTACTATCCTCTTATATAGAGTAGGCGACGACGTACAATTTACACGGGCCGTCAAGTGAAAGAAAACATTAGATCGGCAACGTTATACACTTGATTGTTCTTGGCTAGTTTTAGGTCATGGCCTACTCTACGCAGGGAGATAACGCGCTCCCGAGAGGATTGGCTTAGACGAAGGGTACTGTCCAACTGACGAGGGTGTTAAGGCCGAAACAGGTGTATTGGGCTCCATAAGTTGCCCATAAAGGACGACATGACAAATTGGATCGGAAATAATTATCAGATGATGAATTTTGCGCATGATGTTGAAAGAACACTCAAAACGAACGGTGTGAATCTAAGAAATATTTTTCGAAAGATACCATTTTGTGTGACTACACATCACTAACCTCTCCCATAAAAGTAGTTAAGCGCCTTTGGGAAAGGAGAAACTGCGGAAACATCCGCCATTGTTTTGAAGAGGATAAACCAATCTCGGGTAAGCTTTATATAGAAAAGGCCAATTCGTGAGATAGTTATGGGTATAATGAGGTCCGCTGCATGCAGATAGAGAAAAACGAAACTCAAAACTACAATGAGCAATAAATAGCACTAATGGAACCTATAACCCTATGTTTTACAGCAGCAAAGTTTGCGAGGGTTTTCCAGAATCTAACCCTAAACCCCTAATTAATTAACCCAGACTAAATTGAACAAGCTTGTATATCTTTACCATGAACGACAACATCAAACACAAAAGCAATCCCATAAAAGCTAAGCAGACAAATGTGCTGGAGCGCAGCTTCAGTTCTCGTGAATCCATTTACACCTCACTACTGTACACATGCTCTGACTGAAGAACAATCGTATTACCAACGATCACATCCCAACAATCAAATGTCTCCTTGGAATAACAATAAAACCAACGAACCTTAGACGCCGGTCGAATGAGTACCTGTCGTTTTCCTCTTTTCTCAGCATTATTAATACTATTGAGCGCTTCAGCAAGAACGTTCATCCGCACCATTTTTGCCCCGAAGTTTTGAGCTGAAATACGAACTGCTGATGAAATAAATAATTTCCAGGACCAGATATCGATGTATCTCGGTATTGATCGGATAGGATCGCAATTTCCCAACAGAAAGATATAATTAACCTTTTAAGGAACGTGCGACGTCGCACCCACTAGGTTATCGTAGTGGCACCGCCCAGTCATTCGCAAATTTATATTCGCGCACACCGCAAGGAAGATAAGGGAAATAACTACGAAAACTGAGATGGTGAAGAAACATTGCCATGATCAAATGAAGGACTATCACTGAAGAGACTTCTACAAAAGTAATTATAGAAATTGATATTACAGCACGAGCGACTTGTGCGACGCCATCTGCTATCAACGGCGGTCCGTCCCCAGATGGCTAGCCCCTGGGTGACGTGTACCAGCTGGGGTAAATGATTGTTCGAAGACCTTTCTTGCTAAACAACACTTTTCTCTTAGTCACTTTCAAATCAGTCAAAGGCTCAAATCTCTAGGATCCCTTTTCATTACGCTGTAGCAGCGAAAATAAAATTATGTTTCGCACACAGTCCGCTTTATTTGCTCGGCTGGGGCTTGTATATGGCGCTTTGCCGAAGTCTTACGTACCATTCGATAGTCCAAATCTCGTGGGTTTCTTCTTTGACTGGTTCCTTTTTTTTGTCTGAAAGGTTACCACAGACCCTATAAGAGAGAGAAGAAGACTATGTCTCACTCTCAAAGTTTTTATAGCTCATACAGCTTACATATGCGCGATAAAATATGATCATGTGGAGAAAGTCATGGAGCATCAGATTAACACAAAAAACTTGAGGCTTTACCATCACATGCAGAGAAAACCCTACTTGGAAGACAAAAATCGCGCGCCTCTTATGAGTTGCGCTGTGTGATCGATCAACAGCCGTCTCTTAAGAGTTAAAGGACGATTCATTCAATACAGCATAAACACCTGCAATGGCTGACACTTCAGCAAGTTTCGCCTTCTTCAGAGCCGTCCGGTCGCTTTTTATCGCCTCCAATTATTCAGTGACAAGCTGCTCAGGGTCCTGCCTAAGCATAAGGATAAAAAGATGAAGCTCTCTTCGTCGATCAACCCCTGAGAAATCCGCCATGCATTTGACTTCTCATTTTCTAAACTTCGTTTGAAGTGATTGAATGCATATCTGACCTTTACAAGGACTCATAGTGGCCTCCGTTGTATCGAGTCACTTCTGCTTATGCTCCCAGACAATTTCGCGACCAGTCCGGCAGCAATCTAACGATGCGACCCCGGATGGATGAATGGTTTGGTGACCCATAAGCGCGAGATCGAGCCACTGACCTCGTGTGCGACGCGGTGCACCTCTAAACACTGCACAGGCTAGGATGTCCAAACGGCTCTGAAGAAGGCGAGACTCGCCGGGACGTCAGCCATCCCTAGTGCTTCGGAAGGATCGCCCGTTGACCTCATGCTTACTTGGTAAGAAGATAAAATTCCTTCTTATTCAACAGTTTCTAGCGGTGGCATGATGTCACAGATATACCGAGTGATGTAGAGTGATGTGCAGAACTTTTGCGTCAGGCGGGAATCGAACTCGCACCACATCTTTTCCGGAAGCGCGTGCTCTAACCCGTTGCACTATTGACGCCCGCTTTGTTCACCACTCTTTTTACGCTAAGGTTTTGTACATCAGTCTACATCAATAGATATAATGATAAAATCACAGAAATAAATAATCTCTTAAAACGAGAACGACCGAGATCAAAAGAGACTGGTGGAACGAGTAGTAAGAACGTAAACACGATCAGCTTTTGCTGCGTAGCTGACTGTGGAGGAACAGATACTCAGTAAACACTTCGTCGGCTGCTCGAGTCGCATTGGAGCGCGGTATTGTCGTTGCGCAACCATCATCTAGTTTCCTCACCATCGACGTTCGTATTGATTTATTGATTCGACCTATCGATTACTTCCGGCTCATTCTATACCTTGACTTTTACCTCAATCGTATCATGCAGATTCCGTGCTCACTGAGTGGTGAGAACTAATTTCTTCTATGGCTTTTTTGTGGTTTTACTTTTGTCGTGCAATCCAGTGCTAATTACTTGGCATTAATATTGTTACTTACATCACAAACAACTTATTACCTGGATGTGAACGTCCCAAAATATCCGAAGACATAAGTTTAACAGGGCGAATTTCCTCCGTGTTTGTCTTTTCGCATTTCCTGTCACGTCCGTCGTCCCGTTATTGTTCGAGTGGCTCGAGCCGAGACCCGTAAAACCTACATTTTCTTTTTCTTTTCACCTTTTTTACCTTCATTTTACCTTTTTTGGTAGTTTTCAGTTAGACGGTGACAAATGAATATCTGACCTCATTCGCTGTAGAAGAATTTTTCATAGGAGTGTTGCTAATCATTCGAAAGCTTAAATCTCTATCTAGAGCCCCACGTGGTCGGTTTTTCAAAACACCCTCTCATAACGTTGTAAAGTCGAGAATAATTGTATGATTCACATGACCACGCGTTCTTTTCTTATCTCCTTTATATATTAGGCTGGACAAAACTTCCTTAAACTTCTAGGACTACTCCGATAGCACAAGCCTTGAAAAACTCAAAAATGTGTTTGTTTCAGGAGAAAACCTCAATCGCTAGCGTTGTAGGAGAAGGAAAACATTATATTTCACACCTCTCCGGACAACGCTCATTCTATAGACAGTTATAATTCGTTAGCTTAAGTTTCAGTGAATCTAACGCTGTGCTCATTTTCAGAAAAGATCGTTTCAACTGCAGTGTTCCAGGAAAAATAAGATCGAGTTTCACGTATTCGGCGAGCTTGTTCACCGGCTAACCCACGGGCTGAGGAGGGGTGGGGCCTGTCGATCGATCACCTAAAGTGTTAGACATGTGGGACGCAACTTGTTACTCAGTTGGGCTTTTTTTTTCTCCACTTTGAAAGATTTTCCATATAAAACGACTGACTCAGGTACTCCGAAATTTTCGCTATACGTTCATATGCTTTTCGTGATTACAGCGAGTCATACGCTTTGTAAAAATGAGGGCGCGTTGGGTATGAAACATAATTTTACTTTGGGTTTTACAGCGTCATGAAAGCATGTTTTGAAAGACCGGCTACTTAGGACTCTAGCCAAAGATTTAAGCTTTTGAATGATCACTAATACTCCTCTGAAAAATCTTGTCCAACAAACGGAGTCGAATAATCATTTGTCGCCGTCTAACACTGAAGAACCTTTTCTTTTTCTTCGAAGAAAGTAGGGGGACCAAGTATCCCCTAACTTACTAGATTTTTTGGAAATTCTTTGACATTTTAGCCCTTTTATGACTCGTATAGAGTACAAAATAATCAAGTAGACCTCAATCCTTCTAAGAAAATGTCTTTAGCTTACAAAGATGAAATAAATGTCAAAACTATCAATTTAAAGACAGAGGATTTCCTTTTTTCAAACCTTTTTTTTGTCGATTTTTCGCTCCTGGTGGTTTCTTTCCTCTTTATTAAATTGTAATTCTACAAGTTGTTTCCCAGAAGTGGCTTCGTTTTTCAAACAATGATAACTATGACAGCATTCTATAGGTGTAAGAAGCTAAGGTGTGTTTGTTAAAAAAGCCTTTAAAGTCCTTTTTTGACTTTATGGGCTTTTTTTTTTTTACTACTTCGATACACTTTATGCATTAGGAATTCTGTCGGAAATGTGTTCTATCTTGCTAGATCGGTGTTTTTGCGAGATAATCTTCGCCTTTTCTTCTTCTCCTTCATTGTCACTATGCTGAGATTGGCCGAATATCTTTTTATCTTTTGGTTTACGCGGAAATCACTGGGAACTCTTAGCTACTAAATTGATTGTCTGGTGGTCAAAAGATAGGAAGTTGGTCGAATGGTTAGTGATGCTTGGCGCGGGTTTACAGCGTCGAAATCTTCGAGATTTGGGCTATCGAATGAGAAGTTATAGTTTGGCTAAGAGCCATGTACAAGCCTCAGCCGAGCAAATAAATTGAGTGTGGAACGTAATCTTATTTTCGGTGCTACTACGTGACAAAAAGGCTTTTCAGAAGTCAGAAATATGGTTATAATCACTAGATTTGAGATTCGAATGATTGCCAAGCGTTTAAGAGAAAGTTTTTGTCCAGCGAGAAACGTCTTCAAACAATCGTGTACCTAAGCTGATACACGCCGTCTCTTAGGGTTAAGTAGATAGAATTCAGTCGTGTATTCTAGACCATTTCATTTTGACCTCATTTTCTATCATTTCAACATCCTTTTCAACGTTTTATTGCTGCTTTTACTAGTTTCCATGGCAGCGCTTCTTTTACTTGTATGCCACGTTTGCTTAAGTTTGTTTCCAGCACTTCTATGGCGATATGCTTCCCAGATACCTTCTAATTCCGGAGCTAAATTCATTTGAGTTAGTGAAAGTAATAGGGTGACGTCGTTGTTTTATGGAAAACTTCATAATCACCATGATGAGGAAACGGTAATGTCACTGGAGTCCTCTAAGGGTGACATAGGACAAAGAAGATAAAGCTCTCGGCGTCCAAATCCCTAAATACCAAACGCAATCATCTTCAAATTTTAGCATCGTTTGAGGTGGCTGAATGCATATCTGGCCTTCACCATGACTCGCGCTGGCATACCGATGTATCAAGTCGATGCGACTAGCCTCCCTGACAAGTCCAGTACCAATGTACCGGCCTCGAAAGGAGGAATGCTTGTAAGCCTCAAGCGCAGGATCAAACCATCGACCATGTGCATCTCGTGGGTACCGCTAGCCACTGTGTCACACGTCCACCTGCGTAACATAGAGCTTCACACATTCCACTGTTCAATGCACGATCCAATTTCACTTAATGTTGAGACCACAGCATCTTTTGTAGTCGATTCGTTTATTCGCATCCGTCAAACACGAAGGTCTTTCAACCGTTTGCTTGTGAGCTCGGCTACTGCTTGAGGATCTTAAGTATTTTGGGCGTCTTGAGATCCACTTTCGTTAGCGCTTACGGGATCGCTAGGTGTTCCTGCCCATGTGCCAGCGCCACTGCTCATCCCAATGCTCCCGTTCTGGTACAAATCTTCTAGAAATACTGGGAAATTCCCGTAAACATATGGAGCCGAATTCGTTGCGCTTTTAGGTAAGTGCCGCTTTATGAAGCTATTGCTCAGCATCCATTTTTCATGAAGGTATTTCTTATCATATCATTGATCGTTAGGTTATTGCTCAGCATATCATGTTTCCAAATTGAGCACTTCGATGGTCAAAAGCAATGCGAACTTCACGTTCATGAAGTTTCTGGGAAAATGTGTTACATGAACGGCTGACGTAAAGATGTAGGGAGAAACCTCACCTGCCCACAAGTTGAACTCCACTTTTGATTCCCATCTACTTGCAAAGTAATTCACTCTCCAAATCTCGTGTGTTTCGCTTCTTGTTCTTGGAATCACCTGGGAAATGCACGCCTTGTCTGTGTCTATCTCTACTATTTCAATCCATTTTCGATTTAGTCTGCATGCATTCTCAATGCTCATGTAACTGCTCTTCCTACGAGAAATAAGCTCGTATGCAGAAAAACATCCCTAGAACATTTGCTCTGATCTACTCTTATTCTTTATATGTTCAAGTATATTAGTACCTCCTATCCAAGTCTTGATTATTTGAGACACACAACTTGGAAGAAAAAGTATGGCGCACTGGTTAGAGGCGTTCTGCGATACACACGTGGTTGAGCAGTAGATGATCGATGGTTCGATCCTGCGCCTAATTCTCACCAAGCCTTCCACTCCTCAGTGTTACTGAATCGGAAGGAAACTTGACTGGAGCAATAGCAGCATGATTTGATACAACTGTAGGCCATCATGAGCCATTTTAACGGCCAGATATCATTCAATCACCTTGAGCGATATTTGATGAGGTCGATAGCATGGAGCCATTCCTTAGGGACTGGTTAAAATCGAAAGCTTTATACTTTACTTTTTTATAATTCAATTTTAACATCTTCTTCATGGAATCGTTCATATCACTTCCTATTTTAGAATAATCAGCCGTAAGAACTCTTGGACTTGTATCTGTTCTGTTTCAAAGCATTCTTGAAATCTTTCTTATTTCAATATCCAATATTTGATTCAGTTGATTGTTGTGGAAAATAGTGAAAAAGTCAATCGATGTCGACAAAACAACAGACAACAACAACCATAGTGCACACGCTTTTAATTTTGAATTAGTACAGTATAGGCTACAGTGATCGATCAGGATGAAGCAGTTGTTAATCAAATAACATCCATAAATCATATGAACAGCAGAGATATTGACATACATTAGTCACAGGATATCTTGTATCACACGATAATCCAATATACCATCATTCAATAAAACGTACTTAGTATGGTATCATGCATTGTACCCACAACTCTCTCACAGTAATTGTCGATATTTAAGCGAAATGAATAGAAAAAATCATCGTTAGAAAGACAGTAGATACTTCATAGCATTGCACCGGGGTTCATCACGGCATAAGCTGACGTCTAGGTAAGAGGTTTGACGACCTTTTGAATCATATTATTTAGTAAGCTTGACGAAGAACTAGAACTAGAAGTAGAATTAGAAGGTTCTTCGTTATAGAAACAAATGTATGAGTCGCTCAGC